AAAATGTGAGCACTTTCTGTACCTAGCTATAAAATAAATTACAGAATAAGAGAAAAAAATTCCATGTGAAAGATATTCAAGTTATAAAACCTTACCTCAAGAGATTGCCACGAGTGACAGCGTTTGAAGGAAGGCTGCCTCTAAGCCTTGACCAAGAGACTGCATGGGGTCATACTGAAGCCTCCACACCTAAGTTGCAGCCTGTCTGTTCCGACAAATCGCACAATGTCTTGCTGGATTGCTGTTAAGAGGTTCCTCTGCAAAAAATTTTAAGTGATCAGTTAATATTACTTAAGAAGCGAGAGAACAGAGAGAAAGAGAGAGAGAGAGAGAAGAGAGAGAGAGAGAGAGAGAGAGAGAGAGAGAGAGAGAGAGAGAGGAGAGAGAGAGAGAGAGAGAGAGCCGAGAAGAAGAGAGAGAGAAGAGAGAGAGAGAGAGAGAGAGAGAGAGAGTCGAAAAAAACTGTTTCTTCATAGTTTGCGGAAAAGTAAGACAGATAAAAAGAGTATCTTCTTAATTTTGACATTGGAAACATAAACAACATTATATTAGAAAACCTCAAAGTAATTGATAATTTTCCCATTATTACAAGACACTAGGGAATGAATATTGCATTCAACAAAATAAAATATTTGTGCATAACTGTCTATCAAAAAATAATCACTAAAATCACTAAATTCTATATCTCAACTACTTATAATGTAGACAATAATAATGAACACATAACAATACACAACAAGTCAAACTTATACTGAAGTTTGAAGATGCACACAAACATATCTAGTACGAAGTAATAAACAGTCACAATTCTCAATTTAAAGAGAATGACCCTATACCATCTTGAAACTAATATGACACATAACCTATTACATTTCCAAAAAAAATACATAATAAATGAATACTGCAATTATTAGCAAAATAAGACATAGAATCAATAATACACAACATTCAGATTCATATGATACACACAATACACACAGAATTAATTATGTAGATAAAATTATGCCTAATGTATTCACCAGAAAACCAACATGTACAATGACCTCCAACACATAGTACATAAAAAACACATCCATTAAGAAAGAGATATAATTTGTACAAGACAATGGTAACACATCCTTAACAAAATAGGTATCACTTGCAAAGACACAATATATCCTTTTAGAAAAATATTTCCTTTGCTTTTCAAGGAAATCACCTAAACATTAAATGCTGCCCCAACCCACAATGCAATAAACAACACTGCTTGTCAAGAAATTTATTACCATTTCTGATATGCCTTCTGGTTCGGAGGCAAATCTTTTCATCCTTACAGTCATTACAGTCACACTCGCCATCACAGTTGAGGTAGAATGGGTAACATTTTCCATCACCACATTTGAAGAAATCTGAGCATTTGGTCAGGTCGAAAATGTCATCTGCAGGATTGGGTGTAAAAAAGGTAAGACTTTAAGGAAAGAAAAAGAAAAAGAAATAAGTCAAGGAAAACAGCATGCATTTATTCATAAATGCATCAACGATGGCATAAATTAAAATAAATAGAGAAAAGCTCATGCAAGTTTTTTTCAAAGCATTACAAAGAGATTAATAACTTGAAAACATGCTTTAGGATGATTGAAACAGATACAAACAAAGGATAAATATAAATAGAGTTGTGTTAATGAGTGAGGATAAGAAATAGGAGAATACAGGAGAAAATATATAAAGAAAATATCACACAAATGTTGATTTCACTCTATATAGCACTCTATAAAATTTCATGCAATACTAAACACTAAGCAGTATATAATGTATATTACACTACTTGCAAATAAATGCTACACACATTTTTCAATCACACACTCATGTATTTTTCTAGGCTTATGCTTAGTAAAAGTGTAGTAGACTTAAAATGTTTATGAAATGTATGTTACTTCTGATGGACATACTTACCAATGCAACCTTGCTCATCTCCAGCATCATAACAGTCAGGTATACCATCACATATCTGGTGTTTTGCAAGGCAGAGCTTGTCGCCACATGGAGAGTCCTCACAAGCTACCACAAAAGTGTTATTTGAAAATAAAATCCTTCTCTAGGTAAAGGAACTGTAGTGGGTGTATCATTATGTACAACTGGTCCTCCACTTTTTGGTAGCTATTTTTCTTGGAAAACTTGTTTTTTCATTTTTATCTTCGTCATCAATATTCAAATATCATTATACTGATATTGCTACTACTGTTAACAGTAATAATGAATATCATTAAAAGCCTATGCCATCAACATAAGAATCACTCTTTTCATACATATCTAACAAGTTCTCAAACATTCTTGTGTTAAAATTGTTGGCATCTGCCATCTACAAACTTCTAGGCATAAGGGGAGCCATCCTTGATGAAGGGGATCAGGGGGGCATTTGGGGCATGGTAGCCTATGGTATTCTTGCATGAACTACCATATGGGTGTTAGACCCACCCCTGGATATTTCTTTGTGCAACAAGGGCCTAAATGCCAAAGGGTATTTTGATATTTTCAGCAGTTTGCACTAGATAGTGTTCCAAACATACATACAGTATTTGATAATAACATTATGCATAGATATCAGTTTGTGAATGTCCATAGAACATTTTTATACTAATATCAATTCATCCAAAAACCACAAAGAGTTACAATGAAATGTTTAGTGACATAGGTCAGTATGTGTACCAAGAATAAAGAATGTACATCAAAAATTAAAAGTGAGATGCTATCTCAGTTTGCCTTCTATCTGGGCTGCAGTACCATCTAGCTTCTGCAATTTTAGTATAATTTGATATATGAAATTGAAGAGAATTACAGTACAAAGAGTGGATTTTTGAATTTCAGATATATAAATGAATACAGCCTATTTTTAGAAAAAAAAAAAAAGGTTTACAATGGCAACTAGAGTAGGGAAGGCATCAGCTAAGAAGACCCCCACAAAATGCTTTGCTGTGGTCATTCAAAGCAATGCATAATTTTTTTTTATATATCATTACAATTCTGTATGAGTTTCACTTCTGGAGAGTGATCTTCTAAGTTACTAGCAAATTTGCAAATGGAGGACCAGCAATGTATGTTCCTATAGATTGTTGTTCAACTTAGTTTTTAACTGTTAACTATGGGAGAGGATATATATAATTAATGTATTAGTCATTGTAGGCAGTATATGTATGTTACATGCATCATGCATTACCAGTATAGGAAAGTGTTCTTTTGACTACGGGTTATAGGACAATACTAATGAGAAAACTTGCTAACATGCAAACAT